TTTTTTGGATAGCTTCAGATGTTGAATCCAGCATTTCTGGAGCTACAACGTCAACTGATTGCACAGCAAACGGCACAGTTTCGGCTGCCGCTTCTACCAGCTCAGATGACGTCGTCGATGTCCTTACCGTCGCTACGGCAAATTCCACCAACATTGCCGCACGTTCCCTCAATTCCAAGTTCACCTGCTCCTTTGCCTGCAAGACCTGTTCCACGAAAACCAGCACCGGTAGTAATGACAACACCAAACATTTCACCCACCACATCTAATCCACGAAGTGATGGTTCATTCGCCGTTCCACAAGATCCAGTGATGAGAAAGCCTTCTATTCCACTAAGGTAGGCAAAGATTTAACATTTTTTGAGAAATTCTGAACTACAGCATTGCTTTTAGTCGCCCCAGCACCTCCACCGATGAGAAAGAAAAGATGGTGAACCGACCAAAATCGCCAGAATTTGAAATGGGAAAATTACCTGTTAAGAACTATGTTCCCTCTCATTTTATGAAAGGAACTATGATACAAATGGCGAGTGGAAAATTGAAGAAGGTAAACTCTACCGATCATTTTGGATTTCTTAGGTCCTCATGACAAATTTTAGGTGGAAGAGATGTCTTCAGATGATTTTCTCTTGGCTGCTCCATTGACTCGAGAATTCAACGTTGATGCAAGTGTTGTTATGGAAATCGCTAGAGCTTCTACTCTGGCTCGAGTCAAATTTGCTGTTGGGCAAACTCAGTACGAGGTATTTCTTGTAATTTTTTGTTGTATTGAAGTGTGGGAACGTGTTTGATCTGAATGTCTCTTGGAGCCGAAGCTAATGGCTGTGGGTTCTGACAGGAGAGGGATTAGATATTTTAGAGAGACAATTCTTTGGGTCAATGTTTTCGAGCCATTGAATTCTTTGCTGGACCGAAGCTACGTAGTGCAGACGCATCTAAGGGAGGATAAAGATATGAAATAGAGTATTCCATCTAGATTAAAGGATATGCTAATTTATTGTGTCCAGAAAAGTTCAGTAAATCACATATGAACTATATTTCATTATTGTTGGGATTGATGAAGTTAAATACTTCTTTTGATTAGTGTAAATACTCCAGTATACTAGCTTCTGACTTATTAGACTAGTAATCAAATAAAAAAGGGAAGCAGGTGTGACTGAACTCGACAAAAGAACCAAAACAAAACGAAAGTGAACGAACTTACTCACTTAGATACTTATATGGCGTGTCCTCACTCGTCGTGCAGATCCCAGCATTTCTGTCTCTCGCTAGCCTCATCCACGAGTTGGTATTTAACTGCGGCGACGTTCGCGAGGTCCAGATCCATTACTCGTTACCAGCTGAGAATTCAGCTGGTCCATCTGCGCAACGAACACGTCAACCCATCTGGTCGGTGGCCTCCCCCGAGGACGTTTTGCTTCGCGAGGAATCCATTCCAGATTTCTTAGTGCCTTCTGTCGTCTGTCCTTCTCATTAAATGACCAGCCCATCGGTGTTTTGCCTTAGTAACGTATTGGATCCCGAAGATGAGACGTTGATTTCATATCTGAGCTGCGAAGTCCGACGAGATGTTAGGTGCGTCGGTTATACTTCAGAAGACGTCGTTTCAACGCTCGGTTGTTCGTAGTGCCTTCGATGTAACTATAGTGTCAGGCCACTCTCTGCTGTGTAACAGAGCGCCAGAAGAACGAATCGAATAGGTGGGCTCGGAGCTCTGGGTCCGTCAGTTGGTCTGTGGCCTCCTTTAGCTCGAATACGCCTCAAGCTGCTCTTCGCCTCCTGTTTAGTTTTTCTTTCAGATCGCATGTTCATCGAACGCCCGAGATATATGTAAGAAGACGTCTCCGCGGTTGGAGAGCCTTCCAATTCCATTTCATTATCCTCGCAAAAAGCGTTCTTCATGAACTGAATCTTCTTCCGGTTGATTTGCAGTCCTATCTGCCCTACTTCTTCAGTTCCTCCAACATCGTCTCCGCTTCAGTAATATTTCTCGGGAAGAGAACAATTTTGTCCACAAAACGAAGGTTCGAGAGGAACCTCCCATCAACTCGTATACGTAACTCTCTCGCTCCAATCCAGTTCATCACCCACTGCAACGCAGCGGTAAACAACTTTGGCGACACGGTGTCGCCTTGTCGAAGCCCCTTAGATATTGGTATGTTGAGGGGGCAATGGAAAAGCTGTACCGTTGTAAAGCAGTTCCTGTAGCAGTCGGTCAATGTCCTCACGTAAGATGGGTCCACTCCTTGGTCAACGAGCGCTGACAGAATGGCATCAATCCAACGGCGTCGAACGCTTTTTCATAGTCAACGAAGGCTAGAACGAGAGGTAAGCGCTTTCGGCGAACCTCGATAATCCTCGAAACCGTCTGGATGTGATCCACGCAGCTGAAGCCCATACAAAATCCACGCTGTTATATAGATTGGGCTTTATCGAGTGTCTTTATATGCGATTGAGAATAATCCTTGTAAGAGCTTGTAAAGCACGCTCAGCAGGCATATTGGACGAGATCCTCCCTACCGCCCTTCTCATGAAGGAGGATTGTTCAGGAGGTTTACTGGTCGTGGATCCTTTCCTTTTGAAGATAAGACATTAGGTGTGCTGCTAGTATCTCGTGTAGGCATTGGTCTTTGTGGTCTGGATTGCGGCGCGTACTTCAGCAGGTAGAATCCGTGGTGGATTTCTCGGGATAACGGGGTTTAACACGGGTGTTAATGAGAGGAAGAGATCAGTCTAGAATCGCTTCGTGATTGATCCCATCTTCTGTAGGGAAGGCGTGCGAGTCCCGTCTTCGTTCAGTAATGCTGTCAGCGGAACAATGTAGTCAGGTCCCTGTGGCACTTTCTTAGACTTTGCTTTGCTTCTTCCAAAAGTTTCGATTGCCTGTGTTTTCGAAGACCTTCTCGCAAAGCTGTTCTGCAGCTTATTGGCTATTTTGCTTAAGATGTGATGCAATTGGATCCAGCCTCAGTGCTCTCCTTCTCTTTAGCAGTTCATTGATGCCTTTCGAAACCCGTCAAAGTTCTTTGCTTGAGGCATTGAGGTACTTTCAGACCCCCAGTCCTCTGAGAAGCAGGACCTAGCCCTTTATTGGGTCCTTCTCTATAATCTAATCACAAGGTCAGAAGCTCCTCCAATCTGACGCCGTGATATAACGCCTCCAACACGGTGACAAATCCTCTTTTCCAGCTTTCGGTGGAGTCGCACATCTGCTCGAGGAAGGCGGTGATCCGAATTACTGCTGAAGAACCACTGAGATTTGCACCACTTTCGGTTGGTCAGAATGTGGCGATCTCCGCATGAGGCATACCATTGGATGATTCCCATGTCCACCGCCAGCGTTCTTTTTTGAAGAAATGCCATGAAAAAGTCGTGCGGCGGCTAAGAGCCCAACAATACGGTTATCCTCATTCCGAAGTCCTCCAATTTCCCGATCCTATGCTTCCCTTCTTCTGACATCCCGATTTTCGCATTGAAGTCACCCATGACAAATTTATAGAAGAACTCTCTTCAATGATTTCCTTCAAATCCTCGTATAAAGTTCCGTGTCATCAGTTGCTGATGTTGGAGAATAGCAGTTGATGATAGTGGCGGTTTTCTGATGCAGAGGGAGTCGAAGACTAGCCAGATGAGGTAATAGCATCATCTGGCTAGTCTTCGACTCCCTCTGCAAATCGACAAGATGGACAACACATGGGTGCACAACAAATCCAACGTCTCCAAAGTTCCGTGTGGAGCTTTCTCGCCACGAATGATGAGTGTGCCATCACTCAGCTGCCTCACATCCGTCTTCCTGGATTTTGTTCCCTGCAAGGCGATTACGTGGTAGTTGATGCGCTCTGCAGCTTCGAGAAGGGTGTAAAGATCGGCATTCGTAGAAACTGGCGTTGTAGGGCAGAACATGAGACAATCTCCACGGCGAATCGTTGGCGTATCCTTTCGGTCCAAAATCTATGGCGTCCTGTGCAGCCCGAACACTGGTCTTGATGACATCCGACGTTGGAGATATGATCCAGTGTGCAGAGCTTCTTTTCCTTTTACATGCTGACAAGCGATAGAATTTTCCCTCAAACTTAGCAGCTTTGCTAAGGCTTGCTAAGCTTAAACCACAGGCTCGCTGACCTATATGGATTAGGGAACCACCTAGCGACCGAATCAAGACGGTGGTGCTTCTGGCATGGCCTACTCCTTGCTGGACTCCGGGGAGCCGGAAACGTCGAACTTCTTCTCAGCTTGGGAAACCCTGCTGGAGGATAAACCTCCGCTGTACTTCGCAGTTCGACACCCAGAGTCA